CAATCCCGTTAATATCTATAATGTTAGTGACCATGAAAGTTTAAAAACAATATGAGTACAATAATGATTTGTGCAATGGTAATATCGCTTAGGTTAAGCGGAGCTGTGTTTTGGCGACAGAGAGCATGCGTGCCCACAACTCGCTTGGTGCACTATGAGAACAATGAATTTATTGATGCAGCTACAAAGCATAGTATTATTTCTGTGGCATAATTCCCCATGTAACGGAATCTATAGGTAAAGATGGCACAAAACTGTTTTTATTTCAGAAGCAAGTTTTTACTTTAACTTTCAGCACAGCATAGAAAAAAAATATCAATAACACAAAATGAAAAAAAGAATTGCTAATTAAGCGTACTTATAGCCAAACTCGTATCAAATCTGACGTAAACATAATTGTATGATAGACTAGCGGCCCGCCCTCGCTTCGCTTCGGTGTAGAGCTGAAATGTAGACTACAGTTTTTGTTATCAGGCTTGTAACAGAATGACATTCATCTACGATTCTTCTTATACCTGCATGCAAAGTCTCAGCCTGATCGGTTTAAAATTGACTATTTTATCCTCTTGGGGGTAGAATTGATCAAAATCCTTTCTTGGCGGATGCCTACGTCATAACATCTACCTGCATGCCAAATTTCAGCCCGATCCGTCCAGTGGTTTGGGCTGTGCGTTGATAGATCACTATACGTCAGTCGGTCACCTTTGAGTTTTAAATATATAGATGTTGGAGCGCGAGAGCAAGCGTGAGCGCATCCTGGAGGCGCGCCTGCGCGAGATCCGCCTGCGCATGCGCCAGGCCGAGGAGGGCTCCCCCGCGCACTCGCCCGCGGAGCCCGACCCCAGCGCTGTAGGCGCCGACCTCGCCCTGGCCGCGCAGGACTACTTCGCGTTCATCAAGAAGGAATACGCTGCTATGGGATACCACTGATAGCTATGGTGCCACAAGGATCTCCATGAAGATGGCCAAAATTTAAACTAACGCCGCCTTCTTTGTAAACGTCATAATTTCCCTTTATTCTCAATTGTTCGCTTCGTTAGTTCGATCGTCGAACTAGTGGGATTTTTTTTTCTCATTAGTTCGATCGTCGAACTACTGAGATTTTATTGTTCTCATTTGTTCGACCGTCGTCGAACTTATTTTCTTTATTTCATTTTCCATCCGTTTTCATTTTCAGAACCTCTTAGTTATGTATGGTTTCCTGGGACTTTTTTCTAAATAGGTAGTGATTTTTATAAATGTTTATGGATGCAATATTGACGAAGGTCGAACAAATGAGAACAATAAAATCTCAGTAGTTCGACGATCGAACTAATGAATCGAACAAATGAGAATAAAGGATAATTTCGACCTATCCATAGAATAAAGCTACATCTGCATAATCCCAACTTTACAGTAGAGCGATTTTAAGTTTGTAAAATGTAAAATATGCTGTAACTTGTATTGGTATTTTTCTATGATTTGAATTTTTTTACTTATCATATAAAGCATTAAGAAGCAAATTATGACGCATTTATTGTTTAAAAAAAACTACATTTGCGTCTTATATTTCGTTATTTAAGAGTTTCTTGTGTGATTATGTGACAAATTACGAACATCTTTATGTTACATATGCATATCAGACCTTATGCTTGGGAAACGTGTCAAATTATGTGTAGATATAACTTTGTTTTACGTAATTTATATTTTCTGCCGCGTCACATTATGATAATTGGCAAAGATTGGGCAAAATCGATCAAACTAGAAAAATAGAATCAAACATTTAGTAATAATTTTCAGTTTATAACAAAATTGAAGCCGTGCAGGCTGCGTTCTTGCCTATCCAAAAGGTTCTTGTGCTCTTGACTCTATATTCTTCGGAAACATAAATCACATGTACCTTTATTCAATCGCTATCTTCAAAGTTATATAAGTTTTAGAATAAATGTTTTTACCAGTAAAACATATGCGTACGTTTCGCCTAAAAGTACAATAAAAGCAATTTGGTAACGTTTTCATATGTAACTTTATTCTATGCATAAGTCGATTTGTATGTCATTTAGGGTCATTTGCGTAGGCAGTTGAGTCCTCCCTGAACTGTCACTCGCTTTTATATAGACGTTGGTGCACTGTGCGTGCGTTCATTCAGAATACTATGCGTGTGCTGTGATGAAATCGTAATATTGACAGTGGAGAAGCAAAATTGCTAACACGCCACTTTGGTGCTGCTTAAAAATTAACCTTAAATACTGAAATTAGTAGTGGCTGGACCTGCTGGGTCGACGAGCGCACTGGGTTACGACCGCGTAAGTCCTCGTCGATGGGCGCGCGGCCGTGACAGGGCAGAAGTTGAGCAGCTCCGCCCCCCGCTGCCTTACTGCGTAGAAATGGACCCCCCATTAGAGGAACTCAATGGCGCTGGTGAATAGCGCGTTCGGCTGCGATCGTTGTAGTTAAGCAACTTTCGCAGTGGTCGGTCATTGGATGGGTGACCAAAAATTTCTATCTCTAGTTCCTCCGTGCTTCGGAAGGCACGTTAAGCCGTTGGTCCCGGTTGCATCTGCAATCGTTAGCACCCGCCAATCCGCACTGGGCCCGCGTGGTGGGTCATGGCCCTATCTCCCTATTCCATCCATAAGGTAGGCCTGTGCCCCAGCAGTGGGGACATTGCGAGGCTGTTGATGACTGAAATTAAGTTAATTTTTAAGCAGCACCAAAGTGACGTATTAGCCATTTCACTTTTCCCCTGTCCATAATGTACTTAGTCAAAGACAATTTGACGCGTAATGATAAACCTACTGTAAGTCACCACACCTTGCCCGGTTTATGTCTTAGTGTTCTGAAAGTGTACATTATTATACTAGTATTACTTGTATTACTTATGATAAATTTTATAAGAAAGTAATGCCATCCTTCAATAGGTTTCCAGTGCCGAGTTCCTAATGTGTTCTGTAATGAACATGCTTTATAAAATTACTTAGGCTATTCTATTTTATGATTATTTAAGAATTTGTTTAGTATTTACATGTAATTATTATAAATGTATCTAGGTCGTTATCTTAGTTTCGATTTTATATGAATAATTATTTATTTAATAAAAAAATATAATTCCATTTCGTTTTTTTGTGAATCTTACCGTATTCCGATTAATAAAAGTATCAATTTATTATAAGTATAAAATAGGCAGGAGAATAACTGACTTATTACAAAACGTAGTCTAAAGTTAAACCTGGTCTAAAACTGATGCTGTGAATTTTTGCTAAAAAGAAGACAGAGACAGCATTAGGGTTTAAACCAAGACTAACTTTAGTCAATGATGTCAGACGTACCAACTTCTTGGTATACATACTAGTTTTTAGTGTCACGTACCATGTACCAAGGCTATTCAGTCCTTGTACTCAAAAATACCAAGATTGGCCGTTGACCGACAAAAATACACTGACAATATAGAATAATCGACAAATTTTAGAGATTCATGTAAAAAAAAAATCCAATCAATTGTACGTGCTTATAAACGATTAATATTCTTCAATTGATGAAAGAATCGAGTATATATAGTATATTTCTTGCGTGTGTTCGATAATCACTGCCCTCTATTAACGGTCTACGAAATTGAAATGTACATTTTTTTTACTGGGATGATGCGATTTCCCACACAGCTCCCAGAATTGGCAGCGCCGCAGAGCGGAGCACAGGCGTACTAGTTTCCCGGCTCGAATACCAGCTTTCAGCCAGCTCGGCACAAGGATTTCGAGGTGCCCATCTAACATTCCTGACTTTAGTCCGCGTTTTCAAATATGGCGGTAAGAATACATAGGAATAATATTATCTCATGTCCTGCGCTCTTGTATGCGGACGACCTAAAAATCTTCGTAGATGTGGGAAGGGAAGATCGGTGGAGAGTGCTTCAAAATGACCTCCAAATAATATCAGACCGGTGTTCCGCTAATAACATGAAGTTAAATGTCGAAAAATGTTGTGTCATATCTTTTACCCGTAAGAAATTTAGATTTAACCATTCATATCACATAAATGGTAAATTGTTAAACAGAAGAGATACAGTGAAAGATCTAGGTGTTTTGTTCGATTCTCAGTTAACATTTCGCCCTCATTACGAATACATCACTAAAAAAAGTTGCAAGATTTTGGGCTTCATAATGAGGTCGACCAAAGATTTCAAAAATCCGAAAAGCATACTCACATTATTTTTTGGGCTTGTTAGAAGTGTTTTGAAATACTGCTGTCCAGTCTGGTCTCCTTGCTATACCATACATGTCAGTAATATTGAAAGGATTCAAAAACGATGCTTACGATTCCTCACTCGCAAATTCAATTTTGGTCGATCACTCAGTGACTACAATGCTAGACTCTCCACATTTGAAATGATACCTTTGTATGCCCGTCGTGAAAGGTATGACTTATTATTGCTTCATAGATTGTTGCATTCAGCTATAGATGCACCAAATTTACTTGAATTGCTTAACATTAATATCAGGTATAGATGCCGTTTTCCTAATACATTTTCAATTCAAGTATACAAGAATAATACATGCTTTTATAACCCAGTGGTAAGAATGTGTCGGACATATAATGAATACGCCCGTGGCAACAGGGGCATGGACATATTTAATGGAAGGTTTTCACAGTACAAACGAGTTGTGACCAATATTATTAAAGCCAAATGGTCCTCAGATAGCAATTAAAACTACATTATTAAGTAAAACTATATTTTTTAAGTTAAGATTAAGCTTTGCCTACAATTATATAAATTACATATGTATACTGTTCAATTTTAATCATGTTGTGTACACGTAAAAAGGAGTACTGTCTAGATTACTTCAACTATAATTTTATGTTAAACATGTATTGACTGTATTCTGTTAGTGTACCTATAATAAATAAATAAATATCAATATTAATTGTGTAAGATTAAGACACAAATGAATGCTTGTTCCCCATCTTTTAATAATAGCGGTAGCTAGTGAAAGAGCAATTAGCTATATAAATAGAAATGGTGCGCGTGCGTGGGCAACCGCATGACGTGAATAGAGCCGCGATGCGCTTGCGTCGACTGCCCCGCTGACCGACAGACCGACAGTCGGGCGCGAGCAAGACCAAAATATCATTGTTGTTGACTTCTACCAGTACTAATTGATGGAAAACTATGGTGTTAGCAGATAAATACAGTGGAAGAACCAGTTAAAACCTTTCAATGAAACACACGTACGTCCTTAAACTTTGGTATATATTTCCGAACAAGTGAATATATGTACAATGTGTCAAGTCAAGCCCATAGTGTGACCGATTACTAAAACTATATCTAGACAGTATAACACTAATTACTGCCTACTCAAAGAGACTAATATTTATGTCGTGTTATAAAATACGGTCACTTTCTTGAAAGGCATTTACGTTTTGCACTTGTTGTGTATTAGAATTAATCGGGTTTATTCGGATCGTGAAGTGTAGTATTTATAAAGGCTGTTTTCCACCGCCTTCGGAGCGCACACATTATTGACACCATTTACCTCGCAATGTAGAAATGCATACATCGGTTTCTACCAACAAAGAGTCGAGCGAAAATTACTAAGAAGGCAAAAAGAGTAAAAATGAGCTAGTAAGATCGGAACTTCTCGGAGGAAAAGCAATCTTAGTTTATAAATAAATATACGCCGAGACCATCCCTAGTTCATTCCTCTTTAGTTGTGGAAAACAGGCTTAATGATTATGAGGGAGCTACATTTATCCACAAACTATATAGTGATGCTAGCGCATCTTTTATCTAATATGACACAAATATTGTAGAGCGAACTATGGTTTGTTAGTGTATACTTAAATTGTTGAGCATTCGTGCTGTGCAGAAGCGAAGTGAAAACACCTAGACGACCACACAGAAATAATTTGATTACAGTGATTATGAGTGTTAAATGTGGTGACTCTTTTTTTTACATCATTTAAGATTTTGGATACCGGTTTCACCTGTATACCGTAATCGTTGGAGAGTCTAGCACAACGTCCTGCAGTTGATGTATAGAGAACGCCTACGGCATTAAATCTGCTATTGTACATTTGTGCATGAAGAATAAAATAAATAGAACTTTCATGTGAACATTCATGTACGAGCAAGCGCGTAAATTGCCGACGCAGCGTTTCTTTATTGAGCTAATTTACGTATAATTCATAATTTCGTTCGCATTCCGTCATCAGTCATACCACGCGTCCTCATTTGTTTAATCAGTTTATAGTTAATCAAATATATCCTAGTTTCAAAGTTATTTACAGTTTTATTATTTCATTAGTTTTATCAGTTTTTATGTTACGGGCTCCCCGTACAATTCACATGAAAGTTAGGAGGGCGAATTATTGTGGAAATGTCATCATCGTGCACGTCGGACGAGGAGTGTACGGATTGCTCGACGGACAGTCGGGAAGAGAGCTCGTTAAGCCGGTGGCAGGCGGTGGATAGTGGTTTGACGCAGGCGGTGCTGGGGTTGGTGTTCGCGTGGCTGGAGGGTGCTTCGTTGGCGCGCGCGGGCGCCGCGTGCCGCGCGTGGCGCGCCGCCGCCGCATGCCCCACGCTCTGGCGCCGCCTGCTGCGCCCGTGCCCCACCAGACCCACAGGTATGCTTCCCATAATATCCGATAACTTTTATGACTGTGATAAATCCATCTTATGTGATGGTAATGGAGGTAATACCACTACTACCACACATAGCACTGCGTTTCTGAATAATAATAAAGGACAATGGGCAAAACACACCCCGCACCGCCAACAATGTAATTAGTATGAATCGATAGATCTATGAAAAACTAGCCTTTATTATTATGACACCGAAAAAAATATCCTGGTAGTCAAAAGATATGACACCGTAAAAAATATCCTGGTAGTCAAAAGATATCATACATGGGCATATTTAAGTAGCTAAATAAATTCTTTTATAGTATTCCATTTTATATTATTAGGAACCATAATAATATGCCATATCGTACTATACAACCAGATAATATACAACAAAGCCTGCCTGCCGACCATCCTGCGCTTGCACTTACTGAGGCACCTCAAAACGGTTTACGGGTGTTGAAGGACTTGCAGTTGCAAACAGTCGACTCGTCTTACTTCGTTGTGATTGTGCGCTCATGTCACTTGATTGATTTTTATCTAACACGCTTTGGACATTGGAACACTATTGTCGGTTTTGACAATAAATATGGATGAACTGGACTCATGTTTTTCCCTAAACGTGGACAGGTTTGTGTGATTTGTGGTTGCTCCGTTTTACATAGAAGACAATTTACTATAACGAACAAAATGATTGAAAAAAACTTCAACCCATGTGGGGATTTTTGGATTTCCTCTAGCGCTTCTGAATAACATAAGGGGGCATCCTTGCACCTTATGAAGTACTTCCATAATACCTGAGACCCCTATGTAGAGTCGAACTAACTAACTGAATTAATTCCCTTGTTTCATTAATATTCGTTTGTTATAGTACTTGTATCTATTTAAATTAAAATAACTAAAGATGAAGAATCAGGATGGAATTTGATGCGCTTTGGCACAGATGATCATGACTATAATACCTTTCAAACAAATGTTGTTTAAGCCGTGGCGGACGTGGGTGCAGCCTCCATACATTTTTGCCCAATGTCCTTTGATCACTTGAACGATTTGACCATTTGGAAAAATGATTCTTGTTGGACATATTAGTTTTACTACTGAATTTCACCAAACGCTCAAGTAATCGTGATTCCTCCAATTCACTGATATTCTTGAATATGCTATTGATATAATTGTTTTTAACCTGCACTGGGAGTGGTCATCGGGAATAAAGATCCGCTCAGCCCGGCCGGCAAGGTGAGGTGACCGAGCTGCGCTAGTTCTCGGTCGCACTAATAATATAATCTAATCATATATGGAGCATCTAGCTAACTCAAGCATAAATCAAACTGTATCCTGTTCAGGTTGCGTATCGTGGCGCGAGGAGTACGTGCGGGTCCATGCGGGCTGGGAACTGCGCGCGCGTTTGTCGGGCGGGAGAGGGGGCGCGGGAGGGGGAGGGGGCGCGGGAGGGGGCGCGGGAGGGGGCGCGGGGGAATCCTTCCTGCACGCCGCGCTCGCGCCCACTGGCTGCAGGCTAGCGCTCACTACCACCGACGCGAACATACTGGTGGGTTACACTCACTGCCGGATTTAGGGGAGGGCAACCGGGGCGAAAGCCCCGGGGCCTCCACAAACGGGGGGCCCCCACAATAGAGACTTCGGAAAAAAAATCTTTCAAATTCCAACTAGTAAACACTAGTAAACATCTTTTCCTTTGATATTTTTTTGCTCTTTCACCTTTACCTATAGCCTACAGTACTTTGTACATCTAACATACATGATTATTCACAATAAATTAATTATTGAAAAACTCGACTAATAAAAATTGTTTACTTTATTTGGAAAATAATTTGGGGTGAGGGGGCCTCCGCTCCTCTGTTGCCCCGAGGCGTCTGGACCTCTAAATCCGGCCCTGGTTACACTTACAGTACCTACAACACCTTCGAGTCTCACTTGGTCTAGCATCAACGGTGTAATACCTCGAGACGGATTTGTCATACCATTCTGATTTCTGTCGTACAATGACGGCGAGTTTAAGATATCTGGAAACAATAGCGATTGCTCGGATGCTTACCAGGTACCAGTCTGTCACTTTTTTATGACTGACTACAAAAAAAAATATTTTCTTCAAGTACCTATGTAAAATGAAGTTTCCTTTATTCAACAAGTCCACCATAAATTCTAAATACCTAAATAGATTCGGGTCCTATCCTCAAACAATGATGTGTGTGAAAATAATTTGGTGAAGCTTATATTTTCATAGATATGGGAGTTGGATGCAGAGGAGATGTGGCGTGAGGTGTGGAGTGTTAGCCTCCGAGCACGCGGGTGGGAGAGCGCGGAGCGCGCGGAGTGGGCGCGCGCCGGGCGTCGGCTTCTAGTGGCTGGGCCCGTCGCGCTCGCGCAGCGGTGGGAGCTCATAGTGCTGGACGGTACGGAGACAAACTTGTACACAGAGAGACTGGCTAATTTCTGTAATTAGCCTTAAGCAGTAGGGCGCTAGGTCTTTTGCTGCTGCACGTTACGAAGACAAGGATTTAAAGATTTGCTAACGACTGGATCTTACCTGGACGTGAGTAGAAGCGAGTGGTGCATGCGAATTAAGCTCGAGCCTGGAGGCACCTGCTGTCGGCTAGGCCAGTCGAGCTTGCGAAGCGAAAGAAAGAGATCTAGTTGCAATAGGAACAAAGTTTGCACAATCGCTGAGCAATCTACCCTCTCACTTTTTCTTACCCCATGGAGCTCTCATAATCTTACACAACACGACAGAGCCTAGCATTTTGGCTACAATATACTGTAACGTGGAAAATAATATAATAAATAAAAATCAGCTTTACAAAAATTCAACCCCAACCACCTACCCTAGACTTTAAATCCATCTGGTGTTGCAGATGCGTAAACTTCGGTAACGGTGATAACTCACCACCAGACGAGCCGCCTTCTCCCATGCCCCCCTTTTTTTTATACGCAGGCAAAAAATACTATTTACAGACGACGGCGCCTTTAAGAGGCACACCGCCGAACGGACCTCATACCTGGCTCCCGCAAGCCTTACGAGCCCCAGCAGTGGCTGCCCACCGAAGACCGCGTAACCCTTATGGGCGCTTTACGGCATAATATCCGCTAAAAACCCTGCGAATACCCTCTAAGCTGCTAAGGGCGAAGCCGCAGGATCCCTGTTTAGGGATTTATTCGCGTCTCCGCACCTAGCAGCCTCCCGGCCTTGCCGGGGCTCCGCGGCAGGGGTCTCCCGGGGTATCGCGGGGACCCCGCAGACGTGCGCAGGATGGCCCGCGCGTGGGGGCTGAGTACGCGGCCTAGTGTCCACCGTCCCGCCCCCCGTCCGTTCCGGAGGGCTACTTGGGCGTGCCCGTGTAGCTCCCTCCGCCGCCCCCCTCTTTGCAGAACAGAACTACAAGGCGGGGCTGCCGTCACGGGGTCCGTCGGTGGCCGGCACAGCTGTCGCCATGCCGATCAGCGAGGGACCCCCCGGGTAGGGTCATGGGACGGGCGCAGTCAGGGCGCGCCGCCGTCCTCTCCTACCCGTCTTCTCGCATGCCCCCATACAAATGTATCATTCCGTAGAGTCGGACGGTGGTTGGAGCGTGGCGAGCCGCGCGTCGTGCGGGGGGGGCGCGGCGGGGTGCTGGGCCACGCGCGCCGCCCGCGCCTACCTCGCGCTGACGCCGCGCCGACTCGCGCCCAGGCTGTGGATCACCTCCGTCGCTATCAACGCGGCCACGCAGGTGATGCGAGCGATGCCATTCACTCGAGCGAATCGCGAACGACCGCATTCTTTTTACCGAAAGAGCAAGCACACATTGTGCGACCACCAGTGGTTCAGTCAAGCCACTAAACGCAGCCACCGATCGAATCGAGAGAAATCAAGTGGACGCTACTAGTGGCTCAATGTGCGCTTGCTCTAAAATTGGGATTGTTTGTCAGGCTTCCTCTCTCTACGTCTTGCTCACAGAATCGTATGCACTAGGCACTTCATCATCGAACTCTTTTCGCGTCGAATTATTCGACGATAAATAATACGGTTGTTGACGAGTGGCTGTGGCTAGTAAACTCTTTTGATTTTATTATGTATATTTTAAATCCTATATACTTTTCTACGTCACCTTTTCACAATATTCTTTGTTGACATATTGTGACTATTGGTTTATCAATACTAGTACTGCTATACGTAAATACTGTGAACAGGAATTTACAATTTATTTACTGTTACGTGTCGTTTCTCTACATTAATTCAATTTTAGCGTAATACAGTCCACTGCTGCATAACAACGGTCATAATAATTACAACAATCATTTTTGAAGTTATACTTCTTTAGGCGCGTTATGAAAAAATGATGAGAGTGAAATTTTAAGATGCGCGCGCATCACTGTAACACAAAATTTTAACAGCATGAAGTTGGTCACTTTAGCGACCATCTTCATGCTGTTACTTTTGTGTTTACCGCACATTAAGAAAATCTACCAAGAAAATAGAAATAGAATCTCTATTTAGTGGGTGCTAACGACTGCATTGTGAAGGCCTATCAAAAGTATTTATTAATCAGGAACAACGGAACCAAAGCGCGATTCAGGAGACTACAGCGCCATCTCTTGACCATTGGTGTAGTAGAACCAAAAACCACATCTTTATTTTTGAAGTTATACTTCTTTAGCCGCGTTATGAAAAAATTATGAGAGTGAAATTTTCATCACTGTAACACAAAATTTTAACATAATGAAGTTAGCCGCGGGCGCGTTATTTGTAATATTTTATTTTCCAAGTGACCGTGAGACAGATTTGAACAAAGCAAACAGGGCAGATTTGAACGGGATATTGAAATGAAATGAAATGGAATGAAATGGAATGAAATGGAATGAAATGGAATGAAATGGAATGAAATGAAATGAAATGAAATGAAACTGATTAAATTCAGTAGTGATTTTAATTGAATATTTTGAATATTTATTTAATTTTCAAATTAAAACTGAACTTAATTGACTGTGTTAACTATCCTTTTCCAGTCCTCTTATTATTTTATTGTAATTATTAATTATTTGCATGCACTTAAAAAATATTTTAATGATGCTAAAGAAGTATAACTTCTCACGCGCGTACATAAGTTACACGCATCCATTTTTTTTGTAATAAAGTAACAGTTATAGGTATTCATATTTATAATATCAAAAGTATTTATTAATCTGGAACAACGGAACCAAAGCGCGATTCAGGAGACTACAGCGCCATCTCTTGACCATTGGTGTAGTAGAACCAAAAGCCACATCTTTATTTTTTGTAATAAATTAACAGTTATAGGTATTCATATTTATAATATTTATCCACATGCTTCTAGTTTGTATATTCGGAATACGTGTTTGAGTTTCATACAAGTGCAAATCACATATGTTCTAATAAATTATATTCAGTAGCGATTTTAATTGAATATTTTGATTATTTATTTATTTTTTCAAATTAAAACTGAACTTTATTGACTGTGTCCTTTTCCAGACTTTTTATTAATTTATTGTAATTAATTATTTGCATGCAATTAAAAACTAATTTTAAACGATGCCAAAGAAGGATAACTTCTCACGCGCCTACATAAGTACACGCACCCATTTTTTTTTCTCTTGGGAATTTATTAGGGCCATTTTTCTGAAGTTCTGCAAAGTTTGTTATCATCGAGATCTAGTATAAACAAAAAAAAAATATATTTTACTGTTACAGGAAACCCAGTCAGAATACGCAGGTGTCACAGCACCCCTCCTCCACATCTTTAATGAAGAAGAAGCAAGTATAACGTAAGGAACAGTTGGACTCCTTCGTTAATAAAATAATCATCAGTAAGTAATATCGATGACAAACACCCGCCTTTTTCTTGTCTACAGGCACGTTGTCGTCGCAGAAGTACCACTCCAAGATGCGTCTGCTTCTGATGATGAATGTTCAAATAGCGACAACGAAGATTACGATTCGGTATGCGTGTTATGGTCTAAGCTTGGTAGAGCCACCCGGCATCGCCTTGTCGCGCGAAGTACTCTCGTGGTCGACGAGCAAGTCAAGGTGGACGTCGCGTTGTCAACCAGCTAACATCTGGTGGTCCACGGATGGATGCTGCGTTATCAACCAGTGACCGTTAGGTCGACTGGTCAATTAACGATAAGAGTGCGAGCAGAGGGTAGTCGCGAGTTGTCCACCTGCTGCCCGCGTGCGGACAACTCGAGAGCGAGGCGATCCAGTGACGGTACGCGTTGATATAGGGAGCGTAAACCCATAGATATCCATACAGAAATGATATTTTTTATCGCATGAGTCGAGGCGGTGCTGGTCGGGTGCCGGGTTTGGTCCGATGAGCTGCGATGTGAGCTTTAGTCGTTTTGCTGAATTGTCGCTTTATAAACACTAAGTTTCAGCGCAGCGCGGCTTTAGGACCTCGCGGCGAAACACCGCTTTTTTATTTTATGTCACGTTTGTTATGATAGGTGCTGCAAAAAGTCCGATGAACTGAAGATTACATAAATAATAAATAAATAAATAAATATTAGCAACACTCACACCAATTAGCCTAGCCCCAAAGTAAGCACTGTTAGGCTTGTGTTATGGGATACTAGGATAACGGATATATCGTACATATATAAGTATATTTATATAGAAATGCATATTAAACATCCATGACTGGAGTACAAATGCTCGCATTCATCACACAAACATCTGTCCCCACCGGGATTCGAACCCGGGACCTCTCGAGTCGGTGACACCATGAAACCCGGCGTACAAACCACTCGGCCACGGAGGTCGTCAAATACAGTAGTATTATTGTCAGGATGGCGCGTATGGTCTGGCGCGCGTGCTGTTGGCGGGGTTCGGCGGGGCGATGGGAGCGGTGCGCGCGTGGGTGTTGTGCTCGCTGCAGCCGCCGCCGCTGCTGGCCGACGCGGGCGGGGCGGGCGACCTCCGCGCGCGGGCGACGAGCCGCCGCGCCGCCGCCGCGCGGGACGCGCCCGACCTCCGCGCGCGGGACCCGCCCGACCCGCCCGACCCGCCCGAGCCCAGCGAGCAGCAGGTGCGCGACATGTGCACGCCGCCCGACGCCGAGTGCCGCTTCGACGGAACGCTGATAGGACTCACCGTGCAGCATGAGTGAGTGCTTTTATCGGTTCCTGTTTAGTGCTCTTCCCCATTAAGCATTTTGGGCAAGTGGCCCCGCGATCGATAGGGGCCCCCCTCAGATCAAATGCAAAGTCCCTAGTTCCTGTTACATCACCAAACGGGGGTCATGGAGGGCCCCGTTATCGTAATATGCCCGGAGCCTCCAATAGGTCAAAGACGACACTGTCATTACCTATAGTCCAAATATCCCTATCCCGCATAAGTCGCGTTTTTGGTCGAGTCCCTGTGAAATCGCCTTAAACGGGCCAATAATATGACGTTGAAGGTGGTTGTGGTCGCAGTGGTCGCGCGGTGTGGTCGTGGTCGTCGGTGGGCGCGCTGAGCGCGTGGTCGCTGCCGCAGCTGCGCGCGCTGCGCACCCTGCACCCGCCCGCCGCCGCGCCGCGCCCCGCGCTACGCACCAATGCCTTGCACTACGTGCAGCCGGCCATCGGACATACATACTTGGCCACGTACGTACTTACCAAAGCTACTTACCGCATAAATATCATTGTCCCTTGCATTCTCACCGACCATCTCTGTCAACATTTTAAGGTCGACGCAATATGTTTTCGCTTCCGCTTTATGTAACCGGCTGCTGTAAGGAAAGGAGTAAAAATGCTTTTCAGAATGAAGGTTTCGACTCGCGTTTCTTTTCATGAAAAAGTTTGGCAAACGTGTCACCCGACGTTAGGTGTCGATGGAGTTCAGACGTGATGTTAGCCATCCTCATCTTGCCGCAAAAGTTGCCCAAGGCCGTATACAGAAAGAAAGCCGAAAGCCGATCAGCGCTTATCGGCGCCGATCCTTACTACATAAAGGAAGCCGATTAAAGCAGAGCAAGCAAAATGTCGGACTCATCGAACGATGATTTGGTTTTGTTCGAAAATGTGTATTTAAAAATGTGAAAAAAAGCTATACATCCTATAAATAGAGAAAGGAAACGTTTCGGAGAATACCATCATTTATTTGTAAATAAATTGAAATTTGATGATCAAAGATTTTATACAAATACAAGAATGACTCAAGAAACATTTTATTACATTTTGGATTTAGTAAAAAACCGTTTGATGGAAAATTGGTGCAATTGGCATAAACAACCAATCCTTCCAGAAGAAAGACTTGTTGTCACCATTCGGTAAGTACGAAACAAATAATTTTAGCGCTTAGTTAATAAAAGATAAAGTTATAAGATTTATAAAAAGATTATAACTTAGATTGATTAAATCTAAGGATAATAATTCAAATACAAATTATTTATTATTCGGACAACATAGATCATAATGACCAGTTGACCAGCGCTTGTCGGCATTTGTCGGCGCTTATCGACTCTGATCGGGGCTGGTCCATAGAAAAAGGATCAGCGTCGATAGGCGCCGGCTTTCGGCTTTCTTTCTGTATACGGCCCAAGACCTTAAGCTTTGTTTGTGGACAGGCCCGAGGGAGCGCTGTCGGGGCGCGTGTGGGTGTGGGGCGCGGGCAGCGGGTCGGCGCATCCCGCCCCCCTCCCGCACGCCGCGCCCGCGCTACTAGCCGCCTTCCCGCGCACCCAGGAACACACGATGCTGGTGCTCGCTACGGATTACCTCTATGTACGACTATTTCATCATTATTTACTGAAATAAAAATAAAACTACTGAGTATTTAACCTAATTAACACTCATATCAGAATAGAAAGCCTAAGGAGGTTGAATACGAGGAAATTATGAATGTAAAACCGACCTTCATGAAGGCGAAACTTATAGCAGCGGAGCCCGAGCGCGAATTTTGGTATTTACTAGAGCGCGGCAGAATAACATAAGGAGGGCCACTTTGCACCTTCTGTAAGTACTCGCACGATAACTTTTTTTTTATACGCAGGCAAAAAATACTGTTTATAGACGACGGCGCCTTTAAGAGGCACACCGCCGAACGGATCTCACACCTGGCTCCCGCAAGCCTTACGAGCCCCAGCAGTGGCTGCCCACCGAGGACCCCGTAACCCTTACGGGCGCTTTACGGCATAATATCCGCTAAAAATCCCTGCGAACACCCTCTAAGCTGCTTAGCGCGAAGCCGCGGGATCCCCGTTTAGGGATTCTTCCGCGTCTCCGCACCTAGCAGCCTCCCGGCCTTGCCGGGGCTCCGCGGCAGGGGTCTCCCGGGGTATCGCGGGGACCCCGCAGACGTGCGCAGGATGGCCCGCGCGTGGGGCCTAGTGCCCACCGTACCGCCCCCCTCTTTGCAAGACAGAACTACAAGGGGGGGCTGCCGTCACGGGGTCCGTCGGTGGCCGGCACAGCTGTCACTATGCCGGTCAGCGAGGGACCCCCCGGGTGGGGTCATGGGACGGGCGTAGCCAGGGCGCGCCGACGTCCTCTCCTACCCGTCCACTCGTATGATACCTGAGCCCTTTATATAAATCCGAACGTCTAGGGCAGCAAAAAAAAACTTAACAAACTTCCATGATTTTTGGCCGCATCCGAATAATCAGTCTTTTGAATGAAAGCTATTAGACAGTTCTCGTAACGTTTTCCATGACTTAGAAAAAAATTGTCAAGCGCATCAGACATTGAGAAAGGATGTTACGTGAGAATACATGAACGTTTTTTTTACCACGTACGACAAAACTGTGGAATATGTTGTCGCCAGCAGTGTTTCCGGACCAATACGACCCAAGAACCTTCAAAAAAAGAGCGTACTCCTTCCTTAAAGGCCGGCATCGCATTTGTGATACTCCTGGTGTTGCAAGTGTCCATGGGCGACGGTGATTACTTACCATCAGGTGAGCCGTCTGCTCGTATGCCCCCTATAACATAAAAAAAAACGTGTATTCAAAAGAATGATGAACGAAACGTGACCAAAAGTCATGTCCTTTTTTTGCTGCCCTAGACGTTCGACCCCCGCAAAAATCTCAGTCAGTCAGTCTAGTCTCAGTTAAGGTAGAAGTATGTTACAAAGTGCAACATGTTATTCTGTCTCACTCGAGTATATCCCAAATCCCCCGCTTGGGTTCGCCTACTATTAAAATTCCACCCATAGGGGTAATAAGTTCCATAATCTGAACACTTGGGTCAGTGGCGGCGCTAGACCACATGTGGACGTCGGCGACATCAAGTTCGTGATGCCTATTTTATTTCGCAGTAAAAAACCGTTAAATTAAGTCAGCCAAATTATAAAATAACGTAAACGAGTTTTATTGTTGATAATCAAATGGTGACAAAAAAAAATATTTTAATTACAAAAATAGTGTTGCCAGACAGACGATTCTGTATACCCGTAAAGTACTACTCGCTTCCATCACGCACGTGTTCGAAAATAATAAAAGTCATTGTCATCTGCTTAGCTTTTTCCCCGAATTGTTCGGCTAACTAAGCCAGGCCAGGAGAAACGAAAATAAATAGGTAACTTGTAAAAAAATTTTGCGAGGCCCCCTCAGGCGCGAGGCCGTCGGCGGTGGCCGACATCGCCGACGCCTAGCGCCGCCACTGACTAAAATTGTAACTACGGAGATGTTAAATGGTATAAGATTAATTGATTTATTAACACATTGAAAAAGAGGTCTTTAATTTTTTTGGCGGTATTTATTTTTATGTTACAACATAACTGTGTTTTAAATTATGTGTTTAGGTATGGAGAAGCAAAGCGACACCCCAGACTTCTGACTGCAGCGTGCAAGAATTGGATTAACGATAAATTCAATCGACACATTATATTTTGAAAAGATATAAAGGGTTAAGTTAATTGAAAAACGATTGCATTCAAAATGCTTATGTAGACAGAGACGCGGGTGAAACTACATGCTGGCTGAAACGACGGTATAGACAAAGAACTAAAAACCCTATTGATAAGAAAAAGTTACAGTCATCTAGTAGACCGCGTCCGGTTACGCAGCGCGGCCATCTTGAATCAGTCGCGAGCACTCGTACACACACACGGACGCTCCAGCACCTGGGGGCCGAACACATGGCGCTTCGCAACACTATCGGATCTTATGCAAGACTACAGGTTAGTCTCGTCATCTTATTTTTTGTGCAACCGACTGTCGTACATAGGTTGCTAGAATGATGGTTAAGTTAGCGGGCTTATGGCAAGACCTGGCAAATGACTTTTACTATACTTTTTCTTTCGTAAATATACTCCAAATGGGGAAAACTCGCGCTTGCCTGCTCTCATCGCGTCTGACTATCCCATATGCGTGATAACGGTGATGCTCTGAAGTAGTCAAAAATGTAGAACTAAATTCATGTAATAAGTCGTAGAAAAAAATATTCGAAGTCGTGAACGAACCCAAAAGAAAGTTAATATTATATCACCCTTAAATTAAAACCAAAAGGGATGATACAGCACTCGCGGTTCAAAAGTGATCCGCTTAAATTGTGGGGCATGACCACAATTCGCTGTAGTCACAATTGGACATTCAAACACGATGCATGCACTCAATATAACAATATTGGATAAATTCTGTGTTATTAAGATAAAACAATGCCTTCGGTGCTTTTGCAAAGAACACAAATAGGTCAAGATCAAATAACAAATACCACGACAACACTTCTCATTCGTAAAACTATAAAAACAAATTAAAAAACCACTGTTTGCGTGAATATTAAATACTGATTTGTCATTATTTTATCAAGAAAAGAACAACAATACAACTCAACCGTCCGTAGAGAGAGAAAAGAAAACGCAATCGGCTGAAAAGCGTCGCGGACTCGCGCCGTTTCGCTCGCGCTGCGTCGAAGCGTACAAATTCTGTCTCGCTCGTTCGGTTGAATGTTTATTTACAGAAGTGTGCGTGTGCGATACTCGCTTATTTAGTCGAGTCGGATCATATTTTGTTTGATGCAAGTATGAGCGGACCGCATCTTCCCTTTTTGTTTTAATCTAAGATATCACAGCACAAAACGTATATGCGTAATATATATGTAGGAAGGTGATATCGCGTTCGGGCCATAATGTAGTTGTTTTCTTTTTAGCTGCGTTCCAGCCGAGGCACGGCACTGTCGCGATGGGCTCACGGGCAGATATCATGCGGCAAGGAAGGCAGTGCAGCCCCGGAGTGTGCCCCGCCCCCGTGCCAGCGCGAGCCCCCGCCACCGTGTCGCGCGCGCCCCCCGCGCCGCCTCACCGCCACCCGCGTCGTGTGCTGCCCCCCGCCCGCCGGGGACCCGCCGCCCTGCAGCCCGCCCTGCGCGCCCCAATCTCTCACCTGCGCCGACGCCTTACCCAAAGTAACATGAACTATGGAATTACCAATAGCTCTCCGATAAAGTAATAATAATAAGATTTAATAATAATAAGATTTATTGACCAAAATAATCAGTACAGTAAGATTACGTAACAAACTTAGCACTAGTTATACAGAAAATATATTTTATTAGCCTCTGCTGCTGAACTAGGCAATGCCTGTATTTCAGCATTCAGCGCCATAAACCCCCACAGACATGAATATACTAAACTAGACTAAATACATATCTCATGAAAAGATCAATAGGTAGCGATTCAAAGTCGATCGGCAACGGAAGGGTCGAGCTTCGTTTGTGTTCGCTCGGTGTCATATTATGTAGAGTTGTAAATATTTTATTGAATAGATAGGATTTAAATTTCCCATCGTCATAAAATAAAATCCAGCATTGATTCCAGAGTAAAAGAGCCGCGAGAGCGGCGACCTGCGGGCCGAAGAAGGAGTGCGGCCTGGAACTGGATCGCGTCGCCCGTCGCCTGGCGAGGATGGAGCGGCAACGCCGCCTCGAGTACGAGGAGGAGGTCGCGGCGAAGAAGGCGTGTCGCGAGCCGTTCCCCGCGCCCGTGGCCTACTCCCTGAGCTCGATGCGGTCGTGTTGTCGCGCGACGGACGGACGCGACTACGCGTTGACTTGCCGCGCGCCCCCCCCGCCCGCCTGCGGCCCCGCGCGCACTCCGCCACCGCCGCAATGCGTGGAGCTGGTGCGTGACAACGAGTGTCAGGTGCGCGCGCCCCACTACATCGATCCCTGCGCGCACACGCCCCGCACCATCGTCCACATCGACCGCAGCGGTCGCCCCGACTCTGCGCCCGAGGAGAACGCTCCGGCGATCGATCCGAAAACCCGAAATTCGACCCGGAGCGAACCCGTCCGCGCCCCGGCCGCCCGGGCGAAAAGATTCACGAAGCGCCTCATGGAGAGCCTCAGTTTGTCGAAAGCTCCGGCTGCGACCTGCCCGCGGCGGACCTGCGACGCGGAGTGCGAGGGGGAGGGCGCGAAACGCGCGGGCGACTCCGGATGGTGCTCCAGTATGAAGCCGCCGCCCGCCGCCCCGCCCGCCTGCCGGGAGCCCTCGCCGACCGAGCTCCTCGCGAGGCGACCGCCGAACCGCTGCGGACCGAAGGATTCGCGCCGCTTTCATACGGCCGCTCGAACGGATGCGAAGACCGAAGATGGAAAAGCCCAGTCCGCGTCGCGGATCAAATCCGACGCGGAGAAGCTGGAGGAGGTCCTGAAGGACAGAGAGAATTATGCCGAAGCCGGTCGCGGGCGAATCGTCGTCGGCGAGGACTCGACCGTAGACGAAGCGAACGAAACTGCCGGTTTGGATATTTGCATCCCGCCGGGAGCGGAGAAACTGAGCGTCCGAGTTTCGCTAGACAAAGGGTGCGGCAAAAGAGCCTCGAAATGTGAGACCACCGCGTCACGCAAAGGAAAGGAAATCGAAAAAGTATCCTCGAAGAATACCGTTAAAAGTCCCCGTGGGACTACTTCCGCTCCTCCGTTAGCGGTTTCGCGCTGCCGCGGTACGGGCTCGGAGCTACCTGAAAAACGCGAGTCTTGGTTATCGATTAAATCTTTGCTTTCCGGCTATCGTAAAGGTGCCGATGCAAAACGTCCAAAAAAAGACAGTGCTCACACATCGACTTGTCCGACAAAAACGCAAATTAAGTCAAGTTTCCAAACTTCCCCGTGCGAGCCCTCAGATTCCTTCTCGTCGAGTAAAGACCTCCCTACCACGTCATCCGCGTCGAGAAAATCTCCCGTTCCACCAATACCATGCTATCCTCCGTTTCCTTCTTCTGTACCAGAAAACCCTCAGCCCTGTAAATCTCCAGCTGACACCTCACATAAAGCTCCAATATCATCTCCATGCAAGCCATCCCTTCCACCACCTCCTCCAATGACAGACTGTCCTCCCTCTAAACCCAAAACAGACGAGCCTCTTTCTAAACCCAAGACAGACTGTCCTTCGAATGCTACGACAGACTATCCTCCTTCTAAAATCAATACAGGCTGTAATCCCTATAAATCCAAGACAGACTGTCCTCCTTCTAAAGCCAAGACAGACAGCCCTCCTTGTAAAGCCAAGACAGACAGTCCTCCTTGTAAAGCCAAGACAGACTGTCCTCCATATAAATCCAAGACAGACAGTCCTCCTTTTATACCCAAGACAAACAGTACTCCGTCTAAAACTAACACAGACTATCCCTCTAAAGCCAAGACAGACTGTCCTCCATATAAATCCAAGACAGACAGTCCTCCTTTTATACCCAAGACAAACAGTACTCCGTCTAAAACTAACACAGACTATCCCTCTAAAGCCAAGACAGACTGCCCTCCGTCAAAACTTAAGGATCCGTGCTCAACGAACAAAATGAAATTCCTGACTGATATAGAGTTGCAATTACAAACAATACTTTTGAAACGGTAATTTACATAAATATTAAGACTGTGTGTGTGTATCATTTGTGCACAATAAAATATCTGAAAAAGAGTAATGTTTCAATTTTTTTAAATAATAATAATTTTCTGTGCCCTAATTTTTGAATTTCATATCAATTGATCGAGTAAAGTATGTTGTACTATGCGACATACAAATAAAAACATTTTATTTAGAAGTAGAAAGTAACAGAGTAGCCACGGCTTAGCATCCGATCACTATATTGGTTTGTGAAAGAAAGCATTTCAGAGAGAGATTACTCGACGGGTGTTTTTTTTTATTAGGGATAACATACAATATATGTTAAGTGAAGGCTTACAATTATGTTATACTTATTGTACAACCAACAACATTTTAAACAGATTAATACTAGGATTGTTTTGTTTCATATATTTCTATTATTCTTCTTCTATACTAAAAGAAAAATATGTTGTACACTACACAAATAAGTATTCAGTAGAAACAAAAAGCTTGTCGAGGCGTACAAAGGTAATACACATATTATACTTATAGCCAATACACTTATTATGATAAAAGATCATACACTTTGGTTTTGAAAGAAGTGTCTGAGAGCAGGAAAATGTCAATATCAAGTGATCTCAAACTATCATTAAATGTGTTCATTATTCTGTTCAGCGGGGCACGCAGACCAGCGTTAGTATTGACATAACCGGGGCAGAATAGTTTGTCGGTAGGCCCCACGGATACGGTGTGAACTGCTGGGTATTCTAATATCTGATTCCGGCGTGATTCTCTAAACTTAAAACTAAATTTAACATCAGTCTCACCTTTTCATTCTGTATAGAAAATGACAGGGATGCACTGCTGCAAATTTAAGTTTAGCTTTAGAGAATCATGCCAGAATCGACATCATTGTCAGTCAAATAATTAAAGTCGTAATTATTATGTAATTTAATATACAAGCAGGATATATCAAAAAGCGTCCTCCGCAACTCCAGTTTTGGTACCGAAAACTTCTGCAAAAGATGGTCATATCAAATCAAATCAAAGCACTGATTCTTTGTTTTTATACTTGTTATAAAATGGATTCCAAACGACTGTAGTGTGTAAGAACGTGAGAAGTTTTATTAGGGCCATTTCACGACGAGAGCACTTGTTAATCTTCATAGACTCATTAATCTAATGGAAACTGCAACGTAACGAATTGTTTGTAACGACATTCTTATTTATCGTCAAACTCAGTGACTAGCGATGGACGCGGTGTGATAGGTATTTATAAGTTTTTCTCATTTGCATTCGCAACATTAATGATAAATGTGGCAATGGTGAAAAGCCCCGACGTTATTACCGAGTGTGATTTTGTCCTACACTTATTATCATTATATAGGACCTTTCCTGTATGGAAAGGACATTGTTCAGCCACCATACATAGTTAGCCTAAGAACCAACAAACATGAAATATTATTTTCTAGGTTCGAAATCGTAAGTGTGCGAGAAAAAGCATTAATCAGAATTAAGCTCTTCAATTCCGCTCATCTCTGCATTACTCCCGGAGTAGTTATGAATAATCATGCACTATTACTAGGTCACATACGAACATGCATTCTATATGTAAACTAAAGTTTTAAATCGAGTTTCTGAACGCAACTTAAGTGACATTTGGTTGACGATTTAGGTTATCAAACATTCATAGACAAAGCTCAATAAATGAAAATAAAATATCAACCAATATTAATTAACAATATTTGTTATTGTTTGTTTACAAATGTTTGGTTTTTATTCCATAACTAGTGGCCCGCCCTCGCTTCGCTTCGGTGTAGAGCTGTAGTGTAAACTATAGTTTTTGTTCTCAGGCTTGTGCTATAAAGAATGACTTTATTTATATAATTAGTGTTATTGTGAGTCAACCATAAAAGATAGACATATACTGTTGCGGGATATTTTTTAGACAATTTTATGTAGAATATTTCCGTCATACATGATATCTATGTAACTTTAACCATTAAGGCTGCACCCGCGACGGAAGCTTAAAAATGGAGTAACTTCTCCCGTTTTCCCAACATTTCCCTTCACTACTCTGCTGCTATTGATTGTAACGTGATGAAAAGTATACTATAACCTGCCCAGGAGTATGCAGAATAATTGTACCAAGTTTCGTTAAAATCCGTTGAGTAGTTTTTGTTTCTATAAGGAACATACACACAGACAGACAGACAGACAGACAAAAATTTTACTGATTGCATTTTTGGCATCAGTATCGATCACTAATCACCCCCTGATAGTTATTTTAAAAATATATTTCATGTACAGAATTGACATCTCTACAGATTTATTATAAGTATAGATTAGCTGAGTGCTAAAAGAGGGTTCCAAGATTTTTTTGCAAGCCGTACTTTTCAAGCGACATTTGACAGATGGAGGTCATTGGCTTTCCTATTCATAATTGAATCGCATTACACACTTCCGCGCCCTAATAGCCAAATCGATTAAGATGAATTTCCCTATATAAATAGATGAGACCTTGGTTCTAAGTTACAATATCGAAATAGGTTATAGGGGTAATGGAAGGGGTGATTTATCTATAAAAAATATATTATTTGCTTAGAATTTTGCAGAATTATCGTTTATAAGTACGAAACCAATATTATCACGAGCTGATTAATAAATACAGGAAGTCAAGTATATACCTACTAGCCTTAATAATAGGTTATTTCTCAGTATTTTAAGTAACCTTTTAGTAACATGAAGTAATATCGTTAAAATAAACTTTATAATTCTGAGTTTTTCAATACCTATTATGATAATTTATTTCATCATTTAATAAGAAGGATCACAGGTTTTATCTACGTATATAAACACCAAAATTCATCAAAAATTTCTTCTTCCACCATTCCCGCAGCCTACTCCTGTTAGGAGTGAGTTAGTATATGCAGGAGTTAGTACACCGCACTCTCATTTTGTCATGTCGAAATGGCATAGTGTAAAAGACAAAGTTTATCGTCTTTATATATAAAAAGCGATGAAGGTATTTGTTATGAAAAAAAAATATTTATAAATACAAAATGTGCATTTTGGAAATGGACTAAAATTTTATTTTTGATTCACTATTTTAGCGATAATGGCTTACACATCAAAAATAGGTAAATGCTGTTGCGGACTTTTTTGTAGAGCTATTTAAGGGAAATATTTCCTCCATACATTATATTCATGTATCTTTTATTGGTTTTGCAGTGCAGGCTTTTTAGCGAGACATTTTTGTCTCGCAAATGGGAGATTTTTCCGTCTGAGAGCATTTGGCAACTTCATAAATTATATTATTTTATTATCTATATGTTATTATTATGTATGAGCTATATTATTGCTAAGTTTCATTAAAATCCATTTAGTAATTTTTGAGTGAAAGACTAACAAAGATCCATACAAACGTAAGATTGAAATAAAAAGCGCAAGTGGTTCATATGCAACTTTAAATCGTTGAAGATCCTAAACAGTCATATGAAATAAAAAATGATGTAAAGAACATAAATATGATTTTCGATTATCTAGACAGTGATACCCCACTCGACATATTTTGTCAACTTATTTTTTTTACTTCGTCACAATATGGCGCCTAATTTTGGCCATATTGAATTTTGATTACTATCATATCTTTAGTAGCACTCCCATCGTTAAGACGAATCGATTGACGCATGAATCATTAAAATCGGTCCACGCGTACGGTCTCTAATGTGCCACAAAGGAACAAACATACATATATAGACTGTTAAACACTATACCCTGTCTGCGCGTCGCGCTTCGCGCTCTTGCATTGCGCAGTCGGGTAAAAAGCCTCCATGTACGTGCGAAAACAAGTTGTTAGCTTCAATCTAATGCGAAAATGGATTCAATAAAGAAAATAATATTTTTTTCCCTGCGAGTATATATATGTCCGATTGGAGCGGCGTAGGTGATTCGTTCTTCGCACGATGGAACCCATTCACTAACTCACTCGTTCAATCATTCACCGTCCGCGAGTGGATGGATGAAATGCATGTCTTTATGCAGAATTATTGAATTTTCGAATTGAAATAGCGTCGGAGCGTCGATTATGGCGCAGAGAAAAATCCATTTGCGAACATATTTATTCATACATACTTACTTCACTCAGGCTGGTAATAAGTTTACGTGCTTTCCATCTATGATTACTTACGCTGTTGTTGAATAATTCCTTCCATTATCGTCCGGAGGCGTATGCTTATTCGCATTGAAGCAATATTCTTTCAAACATCTTCGTCCTAACACGCAAAATTTATTATTTTGTGTCGACCGGCTCGTGGCCCGAATGTTAAATTGGACCAATACTTAGGTCCTCCTTAGACCCATTTGTATCAAAGTTCTTAAGGCTTGATCGTGTTTGAGAACACACCGGGACAGGCGCGGCGAAGATACTTAGAAGTAAGAACTCTTAATTCCTAAATCATCATCATCATCGTCAGCCTATTAATGTGCCCACTGCTGGGGCACAGGCCTTCCCTGTGGATGGAATAGGGAGATCGCACCATGACCCACCACGCGGGCCCAGTGCGGATTGGTAGGTTGTAACGACCGCAGATGCAGCCGGGGCCAACGGCTCAACGTGCCTTCCGATGCAGAAACTCAAGACATTAAATTTTTGGTCACCCATCTAATGACCGACCGCTGCGAAAGTTGCTTAATTTCAACGAACGCGTTAACCACATGAGCTCCTCACTCACTTCTCCTAAATCATAAGTTTACTTTCATGGTTCTAGGCCGCGCTGAAAGTCGCCGCGCGTAGAATCTTCGCCGCGCTTTTATTATATTGTATTGTACATACTATAGAAATTGAGAAGGCGTTTTGGAATCAAATGGTCCTACTCATTGTTGGAGCACAACACCAAAAGCATAATATTTTCCAGCAATATTCTAATACGCCTGCATTACATCGGGACAGGATATGTAAAAAAAAAAAACAATTTTTCATTTCTTAATAAATCAATATATTATTTATCTGTACATTAAACAAGAACTGATTCTGTGAAAAGTTTTGTGGAGGAAAACCTAAACTGAAATCAACTTCTAGTTTTCGTTA